CTTTTACATGCTTTCCAAAATAATCCAATTTTACATCCTAGCTTCAATTTCAACACTCAAACATTAATTTATAGCATATTACATCAACTATTGAACACTTACACAATAATCTAAAACTTTTCAAAAATTATTGATTTGGTTCCCCAACTTTTCAAAAATTATAGAATGGTCCCCAAAATTTTTCTAAGGTTTATAGAATACTTCCTATATCATTTCCATCCCCTACATATTTTCCATAATTTTTCTCATCCTCTATAGGCAAGGCCTAATGCTTTTTATGTTCAAGATTAAGGCTTTCATGATTTTATTCGATTTTGATTCGATTCAAGCATAAAATCAACTTCGATTCAACCTTGTAAAATCTCTACAATCAAAACCCTAACTTAATTTCATCAAAACACATCTCTCCCCTAAAGATAGGGTTTGGTCGAAACTTTAAAGATTTATATAACTATGTATAAGTGATTTTAATCATCAATCATGCTTGGAAATAATTCTACAACCTCAAAAACATCAAAAATCCTTCATCAATTCCATAAACTGTAATGTGAACATAAACCCTAGATTTTGGGATCTTTAAACACAAACCAAATTAGCAAACAATAATAGTACCAAATGATAGTGTTTTTCGAATAGAACAATTTTCTATTTCACGACATGATCCAAAATCAAAGGAAATTGCTCAAAAATGAAAAATAAAAATTCTCTTACCTTGTTTATGGGGAATCATGAAATTTCTAATGAATTTCATGTTAATTTATCTTATATTAAGCTTAAATGAATAAAACATTCATTTAATGAGAAATGTTCATTTTGCCATTAATAAAACTTGATATATACCTTAATAGCAAGCCACTTAAACCTTATCATCTTCCAAAGTCAAAGATGAACAAAATATTTTTCCCTTTACAACTTTGCCCATGCCATTTTCCAAAAATTTCAATCTTATCATTTTTCATCCAACGGTCCAAATTGAACATGGAAATAAATTCTCAAATCCAATGCTCCATATTATTTTTCAATCATTTTAAAATGTGGAAATAATATTTCTAAGCTTAATTTATCATCCTTCAAATTTTCCTAAATTTATGTTCGATCCTATTTATAAATTTTTACTGGACTTTATCACTTTATAGCTTTGAACACAATTACCAGATCAAGAATCTGATTTCAATAAAACCCCATTCTCAAGATTAAACTATCCATTTATGGAAAAAAATTCTTTTTGGGAAAATTACCATTTTGGTCCCTGAATGTTTCCAAAGTTTATAATTTGACAATTAACTTTCAAATTTTACATTTTGGTCACTAACCAAAATTTTGGGTATTACAATTTATACATATTTATTAATACAATAACAAAATATTATTTTGGTAAATATAATTTAAGATATTTTGGTATTATATCTTAACTTATATTAACCAAAACAACTTATATCTTAACTTATATGAACCAAATTAATGTTTTGGTATTATATTAATAAATATATATATATAATATTAAATTACATAATTAAATAAATTTTTTATTATGTTTTATATATTCATATTTTTTTGTTAATGTAAAAAATATTCTTAATTTTTATTTATTAATTATATTATTTATTGTCTATTTTTTTTTTACAAAGATACACAATATATTGTTTGTTGTATAAAGCAAACCAAATGGATGTCTTAGTCCAATTGTTTGGTGCTTTCTACTTCACCTAAGGGGTCCTTGGCTCAAATCCCAGGATCCCCTATGTTGTTGGTTTATTTTCTAGCAAACTTGGAGTAAAATAAATCTTTAAATTAAAAATAAATTAAAATAAATTTAGTTCTCCAATTGAATGATGACATGTGTCATTATTGGAGTAAAATAAATCTTTAAATTAAAAATAAATTTAGTTCTCCAATTGAATGATGACATGTGTCATTATTTTAATTTATTAAAATGAGGATCATATAGAAAGAATATATAAGTAACATGGACCAATTATGTAATTATACCAAAATGTTTTAAATTCCACATCACATGTTCCATTAATTGTTAACGGCAAGTGGCTTGATTGAATGATTTAAATAATTAGATGATATGTTTGATCAAATTGAAACATCGATGGTCAAAATGAATTTTGACCATAGTTGAGTGGTCACCAATGTAGTTTACCCTTTATAATAACTATAAATTCATCTATGAACAAAAAATTCATTGCTTTTAAGTTCATACCAAAATTAATTATAAATTTTATGATTTAATCCCTAAAATAAATATTTTTACACTTCAATTTATTTTTGAAGTGCGATTGAAGTGAAAATTTTGCATGATATTGTTTTAAGTGATTTCTAATACCTTCGTTCAGTTAATTTTTTTTTGTTTTGGCATGATTTATGAAAGCATGTTATAAAATAAAACAAAATGCCCCTATGATTATAATTAATTGTTTAATTCAGTTTTAAAGTATGTTGTAGGTTGTTTGTCCACTTTGATGTATGTTATTATTTATATAATGCTTCCGTTTATGTATAAAATAGAGATTTATGATTTTAGGTATAATTTATTCATGTCACTTCTATGATTAATGTCACATTTAATATTTAAACTAAGCTATCCCGATTAAGTATTCGAAGGCATTAAGGTGTTCCTGTGGTGATGAAACTCGTATCAATTTTTGAAAAGACTTTTGGACTGAGGTCCCATCTTCAAAGGAAGTCTTCACGAGGATTTTTGGGGTGGCGATTAAGAAATCTGATACGATCTCAGATTTTGGTTCAAAAAGAAATGGTGAGTGGGAATGAAAATTGAAATTAAGAGAGTTTGTTTGATTGGGAATTAAAAATTTGGGAGGAGTTCATGAATACGATGAATACAGCAGCCGAAAACTGGTTTGAAGGTAATAGATTAAAGTGGTTGGAGGCTCCTGATGGTATATATTCTCCAAGAGGATTTTGTAACTTTGTTTTTGCAGATGGAGCAGAGCCAAATAAGTTTTGGAGTTCCCCCAAAGATTAAGACCTTTATATGGAAAATTGTCTTGCTGAGGGTTCCAACTCTCGTGGAATTAGAGAAAAGAGGAGTGGTTAGAGCTGAGTCTGTCAATTGTGCTCTGTGTCAGAAAGACCCGGAGACGATCGATCATTTATTTTGTCACTGCCCAGTCTCTTGGAGGTTATGGAAGAGATGAGCCTCCAGTCGGTGATGTTTTTTCACATGCCCAGGTAACTTCAGAGAACTTATGTTTTCTTGGATTGATCAACTATTTAATAAATGCAGCAAGCAAATATGGTATCTTGCGTTTTTTTGGGTTGGTGTGGTCAATTTGGTTGGGTAGAAATGAGGCTCTATTTAATTAAAAAAAAACGTGTGTGAAGAACAATTATATAACCCGACGATGGCTAGAATTGAGTTTTGGTGCAAGAGTAACTGGCCAGAGTTTTTTTCGGTCTCTGATAATATAAGACGTTTGAGTACTTTTGCTTTAGGTAAATAATGGTTCTGTGGTTGGATTGAGGTGTTGAAGAAGTTGGTTTTTTTTGTTTGTTAAATCTTATGCTATGTTCGAGCTATTATTTTTGGGTGCTTTGTATATTATTTGGGGGAGGATCATTTGTTGGTATATCAAGTGTAGATGGGTGTAGAGTTGAGTATTTTCTCATTTGGAAGTTCCAAAGGTGGATTGATTATTCCTCTAGTATAGTCTTTGCTTGGATGATGGTATTCGATCCTTCTATGTTTTGATGAATGAAAGCATTATAATTGGCTGCAGATGTGAGGGGCCAATGATTGTTATTTCAGTAGTATGTTGTTGAACTGTTGAATATTAGCAGTGATTCATGGTTTAGTGTTCTAGTTGTTTCTGGTTTTTTCAGTGTTATTGGGAGAATCAGTGTCATTGATGATGTGTAATAAATAGTTGGATCGATTTATTGACGAGCATGGTGCAGTCTTTTTCCTTCAAATAGGCTTAGAGAGGTTTTTTAACGATGCTCATACTTTTCGTATTGCTTTGTATGTCATATTTTTTTTATTAATAACATACAAAATTACCCTTTTCAAAAAAAATATACTTAACACAATTAATATGTACTTCCAGTGACAACCCCATTCATAGTTTTATACAACTTAATAAATCATTAAGACACATCAACACTATGTTAATAAAAAATTAAAATGGTAAAACTGATAATTATTTGAAAAATATATATTTTATTTATTATTTTTGGAATTAGTATGAAATAAACAGTAAACCAAGAAAGTTGGTCGGATTATAATACGACTTCTTGAAGGGGATTGGACGACCTAACAGACTTCTGGATATCATAATTTCTAGTTCCTAGAATCTCTACTATCGAAATGTGTGCATTTTAGGAAAGATATTGTGTCTTCTATGCATTTTATTAAAAATATTATGTTTTTTATGCGTCTTCTCAAAGACAACAAATGATATGCACAACTTCCTACTAACATTGTAACATCCACACTATTAGATAATGTCTTTTGCGCCTTATGAGTCAATTTTTCTCAAATCATTATCCAACAAAATTGCCATTTTAAATATTATTAAAAGTATAATTTTGAGAGAAAAAAATAATGCATTAAATATAAATCCATACCAAAATAAAAATTAACATTTTCATGCTATTACATGAACAAGAAAACCATTTATTTACTTATATATATAGTGTTTTAAATTTAAAAGAATCCAACACCAAACATAGCAAACAAATAGAATCAATCCATTGTTTCTTGATAACAAGCTTTGCACCATTAATATTTGTGTAAAGCGAAAAGATTTACAGAACCGAGACAGAATCAAAGAATAGAATAAACACACTTGCACGAGAAAGCTATACACGACAAAAGAAGTGATATATAATTTCCTTTTATTAAATTAGGTGAATATAAGATGATATCTATTCTAAAGATTTTCAATTATTTGACAATAAAAATACATTTATCCCCTACAGACGTCGTGCTCAAACCTAAAATTTTAAAAGATAACAATAACCCTTTAATTGCCGACCACATTTAGTTCGCGTAGAAAGTGATATATTTAAACAACTTAATCATACCGAAAAGACAAGCACATGCTAATATACTGCTTGATAATTTCACATTGTCGTTGAAGACTCAAATTCTGAAGCGGTTTCATCATCTGCATCGAAAGAAGCGATGCAAGCGGCACCATGACCAGGGCCAAAAGCCTTGATATGATCTTTCAAAGACCTTTTGTGCTTGAAGTCCGACCCACAAATGCAATACCAAATCTTACCGCAGTTCTTCTCATGGGTTCTCCAGTCTCCTTTCACAGCATAAGCCTTGTCGCACTTCCTGCACATGAAGGGTTTGATTCCATGTTTCCTTTTGTAGTGAGTTTGGAGAGTTCTGAAATCTTTGAGGGCTCTGGCTCTTGGGTGATCGATGTTATGCTTACAGCCCGCTGCACAGCAGTAACATGGAAGCCTTAGCATGCCCGTTGGCTGGGTTCCTCTTAGAGACTCGGGTCCCTTTCGGTACTGAGATCCATGCCCCCACATATGCATCTGCACTTTCATATTATATGAAGTTCAAAAAATTCCATGAGTGAAACATCAACCTGAACCTGCCTCCACGCTCTTAAGCTCTTAATTAAGATGGCTAGCTAGAAATAATAAAGTTTAAAGGATGGTTCAGATCTAGATGAATAAAAGGCTGGTGGTTAGAATTTGATTCAAATTTAATATGACACACATTAATTAAGAGATAATCGGGGAAAATAATAAACCTAGTTTGATTAAAAGTATAATTTTTTCTTTATTTTATATAGAAAATCTATTTTAACCTACGTTAAGTATAATTATTCTTTAGAAGTTTTCTTTGTAATCAAGCAACTATCTTTATAAATAAATACTATGGATTATAGTTAGATGTTAGCTAGATTATACATAGAGATTCCTTTTGTATTCTTCTTCGTACAATAGTAGAAATTTTTTTTCTTTTCTACCTGTGATTTTTCTGGAAAAAAAATCATGTAAAATATTGGTGTTTCTTTTGTTGGGTGATTATTATACTTGTTGTTATCTTTTAACAAATTAACATTAAAGTATGAAATTATGATGTTGGATAAAAAAATCATGTAAAATATTGATGTTTCTTTTGTTGGGTGATTATTATACTTGTCGTTATCTTTTAACAAATTAACATTAAAGTATGAAATTATGATGTTGGATAAAAAAAATCATGTAAAATATTGATGTTTCTTTTGTTGGGTGATTATTATAGTTGCAGTTATCTTTTAACAAATTAACATTAAAGTATGAAATTATGATGTTGGATCGCAACACTATATTTATATTATGGAAGGTGGATGTATAAAAATTTATATTAATTCTCTTATTATGATGAAAGTAGAGAAATATTATCAAGTTTTATATTCTAAGAGTTCAACAATTATAGAAAATTAAGTTATTATTTTCTCTTCAACTATAAAAGAAAATTTTATATAGAATGAGAGTGGGGAGAGGAAAGAGAGAAGTAAAGAAGGAAAATTTTAGGGATCATGTCTCGTGCAAATGAGGCATGCATGGATACCTGTAGGTTGTTGTATCTGTTGAAGGTCTTGCAACACACATGACATGAAAACTGTGTAGGACCAACGAGAATTTGAGTAGGGGTAGGAATCCAATACTGTCCATTGCTGCTGTTCAAAGGATACCCAGGAGCTGCTGCACTACCACTGTTCCCTCCCAATTTGTCAGTTGAATCTACGGATGGGGAGATGCTGTAATCCGAACTAGGGCTAGGTAGGCCTATGTGTAAGGCTACAGTTCGAGCTTCATCATCAACACTGCTCAACTTATCGTCTTCCTCGATGGAACGCCCTGTGGGTTCGTTCAACTCTTGTTGCCTTGTGGAACTTATATAATTTATGAGAGGCGGAGGCGCCTCTTTGCTAGAAGAAGTAGCATGATGAACACTACTTTCACTGTTGATTGGTTGATTTGGAGCAGTGGGAGTGAAAGAAGAATAGTGGGGATGGAGAGGCATGAAGTTGAAGCCACCGGTGAAAAGATTGGAGAAAGGGTCTGTCATGGTTGAACGATTGGGAACCTTGATAAGACTAGAAAGTGGGATTTCTTGTACTTCGGTAACTAGAAATGATAAGACACTTGCAGTCACACATACAATATTTATATCTAGATACATACATACATACATGCATATGCATACACGTATGCATGCATGACTGCAGCTCATAGGGTAAAGAGAAAGAAATGGGTGGATTCATTGCAGCTAAGGACCGTTCGAAGTAGCGTAGAGGGTAAATCTGTTCTCACAAACTTTTATCTTGAATTAATTCCACAAACACTATCACATTGCAATGAAGATTTCAAATTTTGAATTGACTTTTGAGGACAAATTTTTAAATAATTTGCTGTTTTTACAAAATAATATTTTTATAAAATTTTTTAAAGAGTACATATCATTTAGACATAATTTTTAAATTCAAAATTTTAAAAATATTTTTATTTGATCTTTGAAATCACGAACATGTTCACATATTTTTTAGAGAAAATAATCTCAGTGACCAAAAATGCCTTATAATATACGATTTTAACCAACTTTTTTTGGATTTGCCAAAATGACCAACTAAATCGCAATGCGATCGATAATTCACAACGCGATCTCCGGTATCGCAAATCAATTTCCAAATTTGTTGCGATAGTCAAAGTTCGCGTTGCGATTTATTCCAAGTTCGTTGCGATAGTCCAAAATCGCAACGACGGTATTGCATTTGTTTCTTAAGAATTTTCTCTAAAAAGATAGTATTCGCGCAGACGTGTCGAAGACACGTATTACCACGACCACGACCACGACCCGAGACGAGACGGACGGCGGCGGCGGCGGCGCGCGAGAGTCCCCCTTGTTCTCTATCACTCAACAAGGAAGTGGGAAAGTCAAGCCTTAAATACCATTCCCAATAGTGTTTCCAATACTATGTGGGATTGAGCATTACCAACACTTGTTACCAATACTATGTTGGATTGAGCCTTAAATAGTGATATTATTTTTGAATGTTTTGCTTAAAATTGCAATAATCGCAATTGATTGTAGATTGACTTTTAATTATGACATATTTAATCGTATAATACTAATGCAATTGGTTGCTGATTCAGTTGTTTTAAGGTGCATGATTGTTAATTGTTTCCTGAATAATCACATTGTATTGGAAACAAGTGTTGGTAATGCTCAATCCCACATAGTAATGGAAACACTATTGGGAATGGTATTTAAGGCTTGGCATTCCCACTTCCTTGTTGAGTGATAAAGAACAAGGGGGACTCTCGCGCGCCGCCGCCGTCGCCGTCTCGTCTCGGGTCGTGGTCGTGGTCGTGGTCGTGGTCGTGGTAATACGTGTCTTCGACACGTCCATGCGAATACTATTTTTTTAGAGAAAATTCTTAAGAAACAAATGCAATACCACATAAATCGCAACGCGAACTTCAACTATCGCAACGAATTTGGAAAATCGCAACACATATTCGCATTGCGATAGTCCAAATTCGCATTGAGATAGTCCAAGTTCGCATTGCGATAGTCGACTATCGCATTGCGATTTATATATTCGCATTGCGATAGTCGACTATCGCATTGCGATTTACATATTCGCATTGCGATAGTCCAAGTTCGCATTGCGATAGTCGAAGTTCGCGTTGCGAATCTGGAAACTGATTTGCGATACCAGAGATCGCGTTGCGAATTATCGATCGCATTGCGATTTAGTTGGTCATTTTGGCAAATCCAAAAAAAAGTTGGTTAAAATCGTATATTATAAGGCATTTTTGGTCAATGAGGTTATTTTCTCTATTTTTTATTTGATTTCAAATCTACCATAAAAGAAGGGCGATTTTCCCGATATATCACCATCTATCTTTTTTTTCTCGATCAAATACCGTTCAGACTATATTTCCCGATCTAACACCCTTTGCAGAAAGGCGCGCCCCCTACAGTGCGCTTAACGCTGATTTGGCTCCACGTGGGGTAAGGCGCGCCTTATGCTGACATGAGATACACGTGTGTATAGCGCGGCCACTAGGTTATAGCGCGGGGCAGGGGTCGCGCCTTACCTTTAACACAATTATGTTAGGCGCGGACCAGAGGTCACGTCTTAGCTTTATCCGATATAATTATGTAAGGCGTGGTACATGTATCGCGTCTTGTAGCTTTTCTCAGCTATAAATACCATTTCCCCCCGGTAACTCCTCACATCTCCTCTCGATTATAAAAAACTTAATACAACAATCTGACAATCTTTTCATATTTGATTCAGAAGTTCGTGCGATTTTTCGTTATCAGGTAATTTTGTGATAATTTTTTTTATTATACTTATTGTTTATTATGATTATTTGAAAAAAATATTATACTAATTGTTGTCAATTAATTTCTGTGTTTGTAAAATTAGAAAGCGGGAGCATACGTCGAAATAGTTTTGCGGTACAAGTAATAATATAAAATTATATTATTTAAATTATTTTCGTTTATGTGTAAAAAAAAATTGTATTATATTTGTGTTCATATATTATTTATTTAATCAGCTTTGTTTCAGTTGATTTTTTTGCAGATATAATATTGCCGCACTTTTAAACTCAAAGAATGGCGCGACTTTCAGCTATTGTTTATTATGATGGTAAAATTCGAGAAGATGAAATCGGCGTTGTTTCGTATCAAATGAGCATGTTAAAATATCATTGGAGAGAAATATAACTCTTGAGGAGCTGATAATGAAGATTTCGAGGAAGATTCATGTTGAAAGTAGTAGAAGAATGTCGTCGTTGCAGTACATATTTCCAACATCATTGTTGCCATTAACTTATACAGCGTTCGAACTATCGAACAATGATGATGTTGAAATGATGGTTGATTCTCAAAGTAATTATTCAGATGGTGATATTAAGATGTATGCAAAGTTTGTTCAAGTGCGTGCTGTTCGGGGTCAATCATTAAGCTCCCACTATGGGCTGGCTGAACAAGTTGATCAAGCTGACAGCCCGACGACAGTAATGTGTAATGATTTTAATGCCATAATGGGGAGACGTTCATCCGCAACTCCTTACGATATGTACCGAGGTGGGTCGATGAACAATCCGTATGGAAACACCGCGTCCAGTTCAAGGGAAAGACATTCATCTGCAAATCCCTTTGACCTTAATATGGAGATGTCATCGACGCAACAATCTGTGTAGTTTTCATTTGACACGATGGCTTCAAGCTCCATGGGGAGGCATTCGACTACGACCTTTTTCGATCTGAATGTCGATATGCCTTCCAGTTCAAGGGGAAGGCATGCAAGTAGTAGGTTCTTCAACCTAAATGTGGAGAGTATGGAGGAACCATCATCTCCACCAAAAGAACCGCTTCGTGAGCCTGGTGCGGATGGTGCTGAGACTGGACTATTCATTCACCCAGAATCACCGCAATTCAACTCCGATGATGATGATGATGTAGATGAAGTTCCAGCAAATGTGGCACAAACTGACCCTCCAGCACACATGTATGAAGTTGATTATGGTGTAATGTATGCTCCATAATTTGTAGATATTCCTCATCTCGGTGACTATGAATATTACTCATCAATAAATAATGATGAGTTATATTTAGGCATGGAGTTTTCAAGCAAAGAAGAAGTGATGATGACTATAAAAAATTACAATATTCGTAATTCTGTTCAATCGAGAGTCGACCGCTCCACGACAGAAAAATATGTATGCTATTGTGCCCGACGTGAAAATGGATGCAATTGGATGGTTCGCGTATCGAAGAGGAAGAGGAAAAACAACATATGGAAACTAACAGTATACAACGATCCTCACACATGTTGTGCTAGAGGGGTCAACCAAGATTATCCCAACTTGGACTCGGAAGTGATATGCCAAGCCATCATGCCCATTGTAAAAGCAAGCTCTCATATAGATGTTGTTGTGTTGATTTCAGCTATACAATCGCAGTATAGGTACACTGTCTCCTATAAAAAAGCTTGGTTGACAAAATAAAACGCCATTGTCAAACTTCATGTCGAATGGGATGCATCTTACAACGAACTTCCAGGCTGGTTTAGGCTGGTATGGAGGTTGAATCATGGGATAATTGTGGACTTCAAAACCTCCTATGCATACCATAATGATCGATTTCTCCGTGATCGATGCCAATTCTACCGGGTTTTTTAGACTTACCCACAGTGCGTTAATGATGTTAAATACTGCAAACATGTGGTCCAGATCGACGGGACTTTCTTGTATGGAAAATACAACAAGTTTTATTATTGGTAGTTGTCCAAGATGGCAATTGCAACATTCTTCCAGTTGCTTTTACTCTTGTCGAAGGAGAAGATACAGATTCTTGGGCTTTTTTCCTTTGAAATTTACGTGCACATGTTATCACGAGGGAAAAAATCGGTGTCATTTCATATCGCGGAGTTGGGATCAAAGCATCAATGGAGTCTTTAGTCCAATGTGGCAACCACCCTTTGTCCAACATAGGTATTATCTCAGACACATTGTTGCGAACTACCATGGAAGATACAAGAAGAATGATGAGCGTCAATTACTTGTGTGCATGGGTAAATGAAACTGATGTAGTTTGTTTTCTTTCGATCCTTTTGATCTGGTTAGTAAGTTATACATTTTTTGATCAGGTTACGAACTTCTTCCTCAAACGTTTGAATCAATGGTTCAAGATTTTTGGGCGAAGAATGAGGAAGGATACGATTATATCAGCCTCATCGATAAAGAAATATGGACGAATGCATATGATGGTGGATATCGATATGGACACATGACGACCAACCTGGCAGAGGTAGTCAATTCAACCTTAAAGGGTGTACGTCACTTACTTGTAGCAGCTTTGGTAAAGACTACATATTTTTGTTTGGGGGCACTTTTTGTGAAGCTCGGGGGACAAAATCAAACCTGGATGCAAGGCGGTCATGTCTATCACCCTAGATTAGTTGCAGATCTACAGAAAAAAATTGATGCATCAAATGGGATGTCTATAACAAGCTTCTCTAGAAGGCATGAAATGTTTCGTGTCACAGAGTTGCCGCGACCTCTTCAAGGGATTGAAACTGTGTCGTCAAGAGTAAATCTAAGGGATAGAACGTGCGACTGCGGGTTTTTTCAAGCTCTGAAATATTCACGCTCTCATGTGATGGTAGCTTGCTCGTATACACGTCAAGATTATAACCATTTTATGGATCATGTATACCTACTATCTAAA